TTGATATAATGATAGTAATTGTAAATTATTGCTCCAAACCAGTCTTTTCAATAGGATGTTCTAATATTACTAACATTTTAAATAATATAATTTATTCTGTTTTCTTATAGAACAATTAGAAATGATCTGTCAATAGGTTGTGCTCTATAATTTCCATATCGTTATTGCCACAAGTACAATTCAACTTCTGAAGCCATACAATATGTTCCATTAGAACAAATAATAATAAACTGAGTTACTTATATAGTACAGAATCAAGATAGGAGAATGCATGTAAGAATCTGTGTTTTATATATTTAAATGTATAATTATAGATTTTGTGTGTATAAAACTAAACAAAGCCCCGTTTGAGGAGATGTCTTTGTTAGTTTGGCTTCTTTACTGTTAGTTGTGACATTTGCTTTAGTACCATAGATTTTCTTAGTACAAATCTGCTAAGGCTAATGCTTGCCATGATTCTCTGAGGATGCCTGTTTCAAATCACGTTTTCCCTTTTCTCTCAGTTCGGTTACATCTGTTTTCAGTAGAGTAGACGGCTCACTCAGTTTTAAAGTTACTAATATTTTAAATCATGCCATTGTGTGACCTAATAAATTCTGGAATTTCATTTATATCTTAGAAAGTAGATGCCTTTCTATCCAGATGACTGTATTGCATTGAATTAGTGACAGGAGTTGTATGATGAGAATGCAGAGCAAGGCTTTTGAATTACCTTGACCTAGATACAACCCAGGTTAAATTGGAAGTTTATAGCTTGTTAAGTGTTCTTTGACTTCTGAGTGTCAGCATTTCTATAAACAATGCATATGATGCAGAGTAATTAAAACAATAGAAATAAAAATAGAGCATACTTTTTGTAATAGGCATTCGGTGGACAGTGACAATCCAAAGAACCTGAATTAAAGCATTCAGGCAGTGTTTGCGAACATCACATAACATAGGCACCTGTCATACAGACTTGTTTGCTATGCTTGGCTTTCTTCTGTGTTTTAACCTTTTGTCCTGTACCTCAGTGCGTCACGAGACTCCCGGGTGAAAGCTGTGATTAAAACTTCACATTCTAGTCTTTTATTCCATCCAAGAGTCTTTTCTCTGTCACATATACACAGTGCTTATCTCCAATCTGCTGTGTGCCATATATAAATTCATCTAGCAGTTAATACCTTTGTGTACATTATTTCCTTTTGGAACTATATAGGTATTAAAGGTGATGTCACCACGTTTCATGTGCATGTTTAGATCACACAATGAAAGGATAGAGAAATTTTGTTCCTTTTAGATCTTTTTAACTTGTTGGACTGGACTGAGTTACACTGAAGTATAGTAATGCTGTGTTCTTTAAACATCTATCTGCTAAATCTTTTTGATGATGCCAATTTTAGTGTATAAGTTGAAAAAGTGTTGTATAAGCACTTCACTATCAGAAGTATTTTATTTGGGGAAAAAATTTCCAGTATTTTTAGACTAATGGTGGGTCAGCAATGATATGTGTATGTTAAATGAACAAGTAGGGCTAGTATATAACAGAGCTTTTCTTCTATTGCATGAATAAAAATTGTTCTTGATGAGGATTTATATTCAATATTTGTAATAAAATATGTCATTACTTATGAAGGTGATGAAAATGTTAGGCATACTCCAAAAGAACCATTTGTGTTTATACTAGGCTATATAGAAAATGTTTGATAGTATAATGTCAAAAGATACTATAAAAATGAGTCCAAATAAAGATACATAGAAAAAATAAATTTCTGATATAGGCAAGAATAAATACCTGTATATTTGACACTTTGACTCTAAACACGAATCATATTAACAAAGCTTCATTAAAACAATTTGTTACACATGAGTTAAAGTTTAGTTTTCTTTCTTTCCACTTTAAGGTTTCAGCCGAGCAGCTTTGCCGTTTGGGTTAGTCAGACGAGAATTATCCTGTGAAGGTTATTCTATTGATCTGCGATGTCCGGGCAGTGACGTAATCATGATTGAGAGCGCAAACTATGGTCGGACAGATGACAAGATTTGTGATGCTGACCCATTTCAGATGGAGAATACAGACTGCTACCTCCCAGATGCCTTCAAAATTATGACACAAAGGTAAATACTTACGTGTTCAACCCATGTTACCGGATTCAGATGTGCAAATTTACCCTGATTGCAGAGTGCACAGAGCTGCCCGTATCTCAGTCTGTAAATCAAACTACATTAGATTTTTACCCACTGCTGTTGGTTTCTAGTTGATGTTATACTTCTACAACATTCAAATCTACACATTTTAATTTAGACAGAGATTTGTCATACGTACCTTTTCAACTTACATATTGAAAAATAAAGAAGAACAGTTCAAATGTAAGCTTGGTTTTTGAGGCTTCAAAATTGAAATATTTTCTGTAGTAAGATGTCTATGCCTGGAGTCTTCCTTAATAATTGCTTGTGGCTTTTTTCTTTGAATGAACATCAGTTTTTAGAGCAGTTTTAGGTTCACAGGTAAGCCTAACTATTGCCACATAAGTACATGGTCCCCCTTACCGGTGTCTTACACCACAGTGGTTCATTGGTTTCAGTCAGTTGTGCCTACAGCGACTTGTCCTTGCTCCCCAAAGCTCACAATTTAGATTAGAGTTCACACTCGGTGTATATTCTGTGTGTTTTGACAAATGCGTAATGATTATATGCCTACCATTATAATACGATTATGTAATATGATTTCACTGCCCTAAAAATTCTCTGCTTCGTCTCTTCTTTCCCTTCATCCTCTGGGACCCTTGACGACTACCCCTTCTTGTGTCACCTCCTGAGTTGTGCACTTCATCAGATGTGCAATAGTTAGAATCACATGCCTTTTCAGATTGGATTCTTCTAACTTGGTGATACACATTTGTAAATGAATAAAAAACTCAAAACCATTTCATAACAATAATAGGAGAATAACAATGGTTAATCTTCCAAGTACAAAACATAGACCAGAAAGATCTTCACAAAAGAGACAGATAATGACACAAAACTGTGTTTTCACCACACAAAGGTAAACTAGTGACATAAATGGAACAATGAGCTTATTTTTGAAACAGTGTAGTAGATATTTTGGGAAATATTTGAACTTTTCTACTTGCTATTTCTCTCTCTTCTGTTTTGTATTTAAGTTTTCAATGTGTCTTTTCTTAGCTCATTTCTTTTTAGCACAGAAAAATATTCCATTGACTAGATGTTACCACAGTTCATCCAGTCACATACTGAAGGATCTTTTGATTGCTTTAAATTTAGACTTTTATGAATAAAGCATCTATAGATATATACATGCAAATTTTCTGTGGTCATAAGTTTTCAACTCATTGGGGTAAAGAGTACAATAAAAGTATGTGTAGTTTTATAAGAAACTTTCAGACTGTCTTCATAAGTGACTACTGTTTTGCATTCCTACCAGTGCAGGCATTTGATGTTGACTGTGTTTGGGTTTTAGCCATTTAATAGGTGTGTAGTGATATCTCATTGTTTTAGTCCATAATTTCATAGTAGGAGCATTTTTATGTGCTTATTACCCTGGTATGTCTTCTTTGGTGAATTACCTATCTAATGTTTTTCTGTTGTTTAGTTAAGAATTCATTGTGTATTTTGGAGAACAGTCCTTTTTATCAGTTGTATCTTTTATAGATATTTTCATCCAGTTTCTAGCTTATCTTCTCATGCTTTTGATAGTAACAATAAACCAGAATAAAACAACAAGTTCAAACTAAGAAAACACACAACTGGGAGTAAAGTCCCTTGTTTTTCTAAGAAACTATAGAACAGTACTATTTCAATAGATTAAGTAACTTCTGGTTATCATTCCTAGCAGATAAAACATAGCCATGAGAGTGCTGTAGTACTAGAAGGCTAGTAGAGAGTGTCGTCAGCATACATACTTGTTAGGGCAGGATAGAAACCACATTTCTGAATAGTGAGTGGAGATGTCTGCCATCTTCGAACAGTATACAGATAGTTAAACAGATTCTAGTAAGGTTCTACTCTTTCCAATTCAAACCATCACTTCTCTTGCTCTTTGATCTTTTACATTATACAAAATGCGTTTAAAGATAAGACTAAAGTCAAATTTTCTTTTGTTTAAAATTTACAATTGAATAGAATTTATCATCCACAATTAAAAGACTAAACTTCAGGGCAATATAAAATATGACATCATCAAGTTTCTTAAGACACTGTAGTTTTTATTAAAATGTTGTTAATTGGGCTTTAGCTACTTAGCAAGATTATGATTCAGTAAGGTTGAGAGTTATGAATATTGAGTATATATATATATATATATATATATATATATATATAGTCTATATGACTATAGACTATATATTTTTTTTCAGATGTGGTAGAGTATCTGAACTTCTTAATTGAGATGTAAGCTATGATGGTTTTTATCTATTTTCTTTCTGCACTGAGCCCCTATTCATTAATTATAGAAAATAATTCAGCTGAAAAGAAAAGAAGAAAAATATCTCCATGTTCTAAGAGTGTGTTCATCATATTTGTTTTAGCATATTTTTATTGACAGTTATGGCTACTTTTTTAATGCCAATTCTGATAAGATCATTAATATTCTTTTTAGGAAACAAGACTATCACCTTACTTTAGAAAGATCTACATTAGATTTTGCTTTTATCATCTTATTGACATTATTATAAAATTAAGCCAAAATGTCATTTGCAATCAATAATACTCACATAGTGCTTCCATTTTTTTAAAAAAAATTACTTTGAGGAGAATAAAACCTCGCAAATAAAACAGAATAAAGCCAATTCAAACAAAACAGTGTAAGTGATACAGGACTTCAAGATAATAGCAGATCAACAGTGGCCACAATAATGCTTCTTGCCATCCCCCAAACAGCTGCCCATAACCTCAGACATAGTAAAAAATCAAACAAAACAGAATCGAACAGAACCAATAAAAATAAAACGTTGAATGCAATACCGAACTTCAAAACAAGACAGTAGTAAATCCAAAATGGCAAAAATATGGACCACTTCACAAATTTGCCTGTCATCCTTGCTCAGGGGCCATGCTAATCTTCTTGGTATCATGCTAATCTTTAGCATATGAGCTGCCAAAGTGAGCACAGTGCTTCCATTTTTTTTAATGAGTAGTATAAGTTTGAAATTCTGGCCTGTAAAACAAGTAACTTTTTAGAGTTTAACTTTCCTGACTAAAATAGATTCTAAAAGTAGAGCTTCTCTCATCTGAAAATCCAAAATCAGATACACTTCAGAATTTTAAACTTGCTGGGATATAGCTCAGCAGCATAGCACCTGCCTAGCAGTCATGTGGTCATGGGTTCGATTCTCGGTACAGGAGAAAAAAAAAAAGAATCTTAAACTTTTTGAATGCCAACATGAAGCCACAAAAATGTAAAACTTTACTATCTCTAAGTTTGTGTGATAGGTTGCAGTCAAAGCTCAAATCGACAGACATACTGTGTAAAATGATGTTCAGGTTATATACATATAGGATATATTTGAAATTTAAGTGAATTTTATGTTTAGGTTTGTCTTATCCCCATTGTGTCTCCCTGAATATATGCATATATTCTCCAAAAACCTTAAGATCTGAAACATTTCTAATGTCAGGCATTTCATATGATGGATATTAAGCCTGTCCGTTTTGCACAGGGTATTTCAAAATCTGGGAACTGCCTATCCTTCAGAGACAGACACACACCCTGGGTAGTAGTTGACCATTAATCCCATTGTTAACGTGCTAATTTACCTTTCAAGTATAGTGACACAAGTTAGGTTTCTAGAAGCAGGCTAGAGTGAAATAGAAGAAAAGAATTATTATGTGTGATTACCTCTTTTTACTAGACTGACTAGCAAAAGACAGTGCGAATTAACACAGAGAAGGTCTAGCATAGCTGGGTTTAAAGAATGATACATTTTAAGTAATCTTTTCCAAGTTACATATTCAAAAACACAGCAATAGTTAATGAGATGTCTTATACTACTACATATGAATATCATTTCTTATTATAGGAAACAACAGGATAAAGTATCATTTATTTTGTAAATATGGGGCTGCATTTCTTGATATTACTGTACTTAATTTTTTTAATAGTAATAGGGATTAAATGTAGCCATTTATCATGCTAGGCAAGTACTTTGCCATGAATCTACATTGCCAAGTGTTTTTATAATTTTGAGACAGGGTCTTGCTAAACTGCACAGGTTGGCCTAAAACTTGTGAAACTCCTGTCTCAGCCACTGGAGGATATAGCATTACATGCTTGCTCCACTATACCTGGCTGATACTACTATATTTTTTTAAAAAAAGATCTAAAACTTAGGGGCATTCGAACTCTGTAAAAACCTTTATTTGTTCTTTTTGCCCTTATTATCAAAATCTCCAGTTATATGGTGTATAGATACAAATAAAGGATAATTCTAACACTAACAGCAGAAAATCCATTTTAAGTGGTATTACACTGGTGACCTATAATTATTCAATCAGCAAAATGACGGTTTAAACATGAACACTTGACTGAAAAGGAAGACAAGGTTGAAATGATTTTAAAATTAGTTTCATAGTTGTAATTGACAAGTGCCCTATACACATGTCAGACTAAAAACCTTAAGGAATTCTGTCATATTTGACTAGTTTAGAATTTCTAATAACTGTATGAAAAACAAAGTAGGCATATTTTTGAAACTAAATTATTATGAATAATTACTGAGTATATAGAATGACTTGACTCTTTTAATTTTACAGTGCTAAACCCCTAACAACTTAGCAAGTATTTCCATTTATAACCCCCCAAATCTGATATTTGGTGATGGAATAGAATTATGTTTATTTAATGTAAAAAATTTTCTCTTTAGAAAGGTCCAATAAAAATATTGTAATTTTTCCATATAAGTGATGACACAGACACAGAAATTTTAGTACCATTGCAGTATGTTTGCTTTGTATTTCAAACGTTTTCATCTTTCTTCTCCAGTTACCACTTCTAGTAGCTAAGAATCAAGCAAATAAATGCACTTGTAATTCAAACCTTGATCATAAAGTTATTAGTATTCATTTCTCATTTTGTTGTCATTTAAAAATGTGAAACTAAGGTTTGTTAGTAATAGATCAAAATGCTTGGGACCACAAATGTTTCCGATTTTGGAATATTCACACAAATTTTACTGGTTGAGCATCCCTAATCCAGAAACCTAAAATCTGAAGTGCTTCATCTATTTTAAATTTCAACTATCTCCTATCAAACAGCTTTTGGAATTTTTCATATTAAGGATACTTAACATGTATGTTTGTCCTCTAAGTGTTCTGAGTGGCTCATCCTAAAAAGCCCAAATAGGAATTCTGTCTTAAAATTGTTTATATTTTATACATTATGAAATAGTCACCATTAAAAATATTATTTTTAGTACTCTTTGAAGATAATTGTTGTGAGACACAATATAAAAATACAACACTTTGGATTCATTAACAAAAATGTTTCTGCTATTACTTTTAAGTATCTGATTTGATTTGACTAATACGTAAATTAAAATTTTGCTAACAGTATCTATGATTTACAATACTTGATTACAGTCTAGTGTTTTGAACTGATGTGCTAAATCATACCTGAAGTTTTTTCTCAACCTCTCTTTGTTTATGTTCTTCTCTCTTTACTTAGAATCTGTTCAATGTCATTAAGGCAGTTTGCTGCCTTTGTTAATTTGGGCATTGTAATATGTTTTTAATGTTCTAGCACTTTTGCCTAGAGATCTGAAAGTACATGTGTGTAAATATTTACAAATTTATATTTCAATACTGAGTATAAAGCTAATGTGCATGGATAGGTCATCTTTTACAACGTAGTTGATGCTGTCCTATGCATATTAGCATACCTTCATACAGACAGAGAAGAGAGTAGTACTACACACTTCAGCCCTTTCCTGTGTTTGGAAGGTATATTTTGTGTATTCCACTGAAACATACTCTATTTTGGTATCGAAATTGCCCAGTGAAAGATTGTCATGTCCTACACTCAAGGAACTGTCCTGATATCCTCAGTTCTTTTAGTTAGTCAAAAATGTTATTTGTATAGATAGCAACTGACTGGAATAGAATAACGTAACTGTGTTGTTTGTTATTAAACAAAATTCAGTGTATATTTGTTTGCTACGGTGTCCAATTCAGCCCCTTTAAGGTTGTTTCAATACAGAGTGTCATGTTTACAGATTCGGTGGCACCTCAGTCCACAAAATTCATTTGTTCCCTGGTTCTGAAAAAGATGGCCACATTCATGTTTGTCACTTGATATCTCTAGAGTTTATTAAAAAAAAACATTGCCAAATGCTTAGGTCCCACTGTATTTCAGAAGTCAGAGGTTTACACAAGTTTGGCGTCTGTACGAGTGGCCAAAGGTGAACATATAGATGGAAGAGGTTGGAAGTTGATAGTTTCAGGGGAATAGATGACATTACCCGGAGACTGTGTAGTTTGAGTACGCAGAAGCCCTAGGCAACCCCTGTCATTTGAGGGACAGAGGTAAGGTTGCTGTCAAGGAAGCTGCAGCAGGCATAGAAGGCTAATGTCTTTTAAACTAGTAGTAAACTATAAAGCAATGCTGTTTTTCTTGGTGATGTTGAAGATTTCTATTCCATTTTAAAAACTCATATAAGAATTCTTAGAATTTTCAAGATAGCACAATTTAAGGGTAGAAGTCAAGAAAACTGGTAATCAACCTTGTATAGACTAGCAAAAATTGGGCAGTAACCTGGCTACATGAAACTAAAAAGTGAATATTATTAGTTCATGATTTATAAAATCAGGGTGTCATTAAGGAGTATTTATCATAAAGCAGCAATGGCAAACTCGTGGCATACATGCTACAGTGGGCATACAGAGCTGTTGGGCATGACCAAGCAGCTAGCAGCTGACCATCGGCAACAGGTGGGTTTTTGTTTGTTTGTTTGTTTGTTTGTTTTTAAAAATTAACCTCAGGTTTAGTTTCAATGTTGGCACTTTGCAATAAATAAGTGGATTTGAGTTAGCAGTTTGGGCACTCAGTCTGTAAAAGGTTTGCCATCTCTGTCATAAAGGAAAGAGGAAATCCCCACTTCTAGAAGCCAGGTGAAGTTACTGTTTTAAACCAAGGGACACAAAGGTTTGGGAGATGTGTAGGTACCACGTAAAATCTCTTCCTTTTCCATACCCTGTTTATCACTTTTCTACCATTAACTTTCCCCTGTCTAAATCTATCAGTGTCCTATCCTATTGTTTGTAAGTATAATAATGACACTGTATTTAACATTTCTAACCCAAGAACAATTCATGTGGTGACATTTTCTTGCATCCCTGAGGATTTGAAGGGATGTGTTACTATATATGTATGTGCCAGCATGGCTTTGTCAGTTTTTACAAGGCAGAGGACTGCGCACCCTGAAACAAGCAGTGTGGTCTTTTCCCTCTGCCACACTACCTTCTTGTTCCTGGTGCCAGCAGGGCACATAGCTGAGGACCGCGTGGAGGATTGGGTGGTGGACCAAGGGATCTATTTCAAGAGTCATTCAACACTGGGGCTGTTGGAGCTGCAGAAGAACATGGCTCATCTTATTGTAATCCCCTCTGATTACTCTTGGGAAATTAACAGTTATTGCACATGGCATACTTTCTTTTGCTGCTGCCTGTATGAGCACCTAGTTTATTTAAAAATATCCCTGGGAATGAATAGCAGAATGATTAACCTTTTTTATATCATGAACCTTTGAAAACGGCTGAATTATTTGACCTCAGAGGCCCAAAACTCAAATTCTCTATACCTTGAATGATTAATATTTTTTTAAGAACTTTGTAAAAATTCTTAAATAACTTTGAATTTATGTGATTGGTGTTTTGTCTAATTGAGTTACTTTCCAAATATACTAATAGACGTTCATGATGCATACATTACTTAAAGGAGATACTTAAATACGTACACACAATTTTATTCTAAGAAGAGGTGAATATCAAAGCTTCTCAGAATTCATCCAAGAAAATGCATTAAAATGCAGTCACAGTTCTGTCGGTGTTCTCTGGCAGACTTCATGATTATAGATTTCGCTTTGTGCTTTCCCTGACATACAAGCTGCTCAACTTT